TTATTTTGTTCGAACTCTCACAACAAACAGATTTACTGCCAACCACGAGTTATCTTGTACTTGGCATTTTTCATCTGCGTACAATGCGATTTGCAGGTCGGAGACACTAATATCAAGCAGGTGCGAAAGTTTAAATACCTGGGAAGCGTTTTGACAGAGGACGGTAAGTGCAACACTGAGATCCGTAGACGTATTAGGATGGCCAAGAACACATTCCAAAAGCTGGGCAGAGTATTGCGAGACAGGAGGATTTCTTTGGTATCAAAGAAAAGAATACTGAGCTGTTACTTGACATCTGTCCTATCTTATATACATGTTTCTTTTATACATGTTTCGTTAAAGACGACTGACAAGGCACTACGATTAAGCTTTTTAAGAAAAAGAAAATTAAATAAAAAGATTAATCGCTTAAGTTTCGAACGTGCTAAAAAGGATTTAAAAAAGCTAATTAAATAATAATAAATACCGTGGTCTTTTCTCTTAATAATAACAAACATTTTTAAATAATAATAAAATACCTTGGTCTTTTTAAATAATAATAAATACCTTGGTCTTTTCTCTTAATAATAACAAACATTTTTACGACAGCGAATAACAAGTATAAACAATAACAAGTATAACATATAACAATAATAAAGATCATTACGTTGTATTGACATATTTGTCAATATTTATGATTTTAGCGTTTTTACTGATAATAAAAAAGCTCACTACAATCAATTTAAATTCAGTTTGAAATACAGCAAAGTATTTTGCTTATTTGAAATGCTAAATTTAATCTATTAGCTTGAAATTAAAACTAAAATAAAAGCTTCAAAAAAGAATTTTTTATTTTTAAAAATGCATTTTAAACTTTAGACATCGCTGCCATGGCCAAATTGACAAGAGTATGGAAGAGCAAAATCAGCTTTCAAACAAAAAACAGACGGTACAAATCACTGATAGTCTCCATTCTCCTATATGAATGTGAATCGTGGACACTGTTGGTAGATACAGAGAGAAGATATCCAAGCGTTTGAGAACATGAGAAAACTCCTTGGCGTTTTCTATTGGGAACAAAAGACCAAATGAGTTTGTGCGGAATAGGGTTGAAAGTTTAGTGGAACACCAGGAACCTTTTCTCGCCGCTGTCAAACGGAGAAAAATGGCGTCGTTTGGACACATTACAAGGAACGACAGCCCATGCAAGACCATCATGCAAGGTACCGTTGAAGGTGGACGTAGGAGAGGGTGTTAGCGCAAAAACTGGTTGGACAATGTCAAACAATAGACAGGTATGACTGTGCCAGAGTTGCTGATGGCTGCCGTTGATAGACCGCTGTGGAAAAGGGTGTGGCTTCTGCATTCGGATCCGCCCTACGATTGCAAAAGTCAAGGGGATGATGATGATGATGATTGCTATTGTTGTTGTAATTGTTTTTGTTGAGTATTTTTTATTGTACTTAGTTACTATTTTCTTCAATTAATCCATGCAGCTGTAACTAATTTTGATTGCATTTTTGGTAATAATTTTTGCTAATTTGCTATTTTTAGGGAAGTGTTTGTCAATTATTTTGAAGAATATTTTCGCTATTTTTGTTTTTTATTGCATTGTTGTTGGGTGGGGGTGAACCAAATTATTTTTTGTTGTTGTTGTTGTTTGAATTGTTTTCGTATTCCAGTTTAAATATTCGTTGTTTATTCGAGATGATTAGTATGTTTGTTTTATTTTCATTGAATATTTCTAGGTTACTAAAATTTGTTGAAATTATTTTATTTATAGATATGGACATTTGTTTGAATACGTTAAGTGGTAGTTAGGAAAATTAATTACAAAGTGGAAATATATATATATATATATGTGTGTGTGTGTGTGTGTGTGTGTGTGTGTGTGTGTGTATCTAAAATTTTATTAAATTCAACTGACAAGATCTGTCTATTCAACTTTTTATTATACATTTTCTATTTTCGATTGAAGTTATGGATAAACTGCCCAAATTTCATGTTTTTTTTTCTGATAAGAATTGTGAACTTGTGGTAATTTATTCATAACTTCAATCCCTGATCTCTAACATCTCATTCAGAGATTGAAATCTATAATAAAAAGTTGAATAGACAGAACTTATCGATGGAATTTAAGAAAAGTTGTTTAAGAGAATTCGTGCTGCTTAAAAACCTATATATATATATATATATATATATATATATATATATATATATATATATATATATATAGTGTATTTGGCAGCAGATCATTATTTAAATATATATTCTTAAATATAACAGACCGAATGTCTATTATGTTTGATCATGTGACGTTCTAAAATTCATATGGTTGCTTTAATTTTGGGTGAAAATAAAGACAAAAATTGTCCAGCATTTCAATTTTTTTTTTAAGCTGTTCCTTGATCTATGCTTTCAGTTCACATGAGCCATCTTCAGAGTGGTTATACAGACATTTAAACGAAGATATTCACCATCAAAGATGATATTCTGTTATGTTGACATAGAAGATCGAAGAATAGCAGACGCACATCATAAATTCAGGATGCGGTTCTATGACTTCGTACCACGTGAGAGACCGAAATATTAACAACAGAACCATATGTCTAGATGAACAGCTCAATAAAAAATATCCAAATGTTGGACAATTTTTGTCTTTACTTTCACTCGAAATTAAAGCAAATATACGGAGTTTAGAACAGCTCGTGCTGAAACATAATAGACATGCATTGTTTGTTATATTTAACAATATATATATATATATATATATATATATATATATATATATATATATATATATATATATATATATACTCACATTCTATGGGTTAGGTGTCTAGTATCATGTAGGCTCCAGTCATTAATTCTACTAATGGTCAGAATACTTCCGGAGAGATTTTGATCTATGCCATCTTGATAGCTGTTTACAACTCCCTGACATTTGTAGGTTAATGATTTGCACACAAATTAGACCTCGCCACCATGTTCTATAAATGCTTAGGTGGGCTCATGATGGGTGAAAGTGGTGGCCTTACCATTTGTTGGAAGTCTCCAGAATGTTTCTCAAACCACTTGAACACATTTTGTTTACATTTATAGTAATTATTATATATATATATATATATATATATATATATATATATATATATATATATATATATACGTCAGCTGGATGTTTTCTATAATAGCTGTCTGCGTGCCATCTGTGGAGTTAGCCTTCAAAACAGGACATCCAATGTAGACCTGTTTAAAAGGTGTAATATTGGCGGAATCGAGACTTTCCTCATACAATCTCAGTTGCGGTGGATTGGTCATGTCTTGAGAATGTCTGATGACAGGATACACAATATTCTAATGTATAGACTCTTAGATGAGTTCTACAGGAATGTAGAACGTCCATGGCTTAGATACAAAGACAAGCTTAAGAGCAACTTGTCATAACACCCTCGAGCGCTTAGCCTTGGAGCGGGTAGAGTGGAGATCAACGTATTTTAGTAGACTCAGCAGTTTTCAATTTGTTAGTCTGAATCGTCTTCAGAAGCGAGAGCAAGATCTAAAAGATCAACGAATCTAACAGTGACCTCATCCCACAATCGTCAGTCATGTTCTATATGCGGCTTCCTTTGCAAATAACTTGAAAGTTGTCAGATACTCATACGTTGAAACCGATGGTGGAGTCCATTATTTTATATATATATATATATATATATATATATATATATATATATATATATATATATATGACCGCCATGAAAAGACAACATTTCTTTTTATTACCACTTATGCTGATAATAGATAAAAAGTAAAACTGAAAAAAGGGCTAGCTAACCGGTTTCGAACCTCACTCAACAGAGCTAAATCGAGGTTAATAAATTATAATCGAATTATCACTAAAAAGATGGATAATATGTATTGGCGGCGTGGGGGTGGACATTGCTTAGATGGAAATTCGTTGGATCACCAGTACGAAATCCTTCTGTTTACACAGAGAGGGCTTTTAAGTGGTAATTCGATTGGGACTCGCTAAGAATAGTTTAATGAGTTCACATTGAAATTAGTGGCACAATTATGGTTATTTATTAGGTGCTCTGCGATGGAAGACCCGTATGTATTGGTCAGAATGTCTAAAGGAGCGTACTTAAGATTGCTGATTTTCGTTGGAACCTGTTGCTTTATTCTGACAGCCAGCTTTTGAGTCGTTCTCCCTATGTAGTCGTCGTTCTCATTTCTTAGTATTCAGTAGGGATCGAACTCACTTCCAAAGCCAATATTTGGCCTAACTGCAAGCGCCCTAAAAATAATTTGGATTTAGTGTTTGGAAAATAATTCATATTCGATCACGATCGTATCTCCCGTTTTTCATTCGTATCGCAGGGACACCACGTATACTGCAGCTGTAATGGATGTATCTAAGGCAAGATAACCTTATTGAGCCAAACCATCTTTGAATTGGTTTTTGAGGTGGGGGGGGTTAATGCGAACTGAACGTCAGTAACCGCAAACGGAATTCAAACTCGGTCTGCTGCAATTTTTCTGTAGTGATAACTATCTATTCCACAACTCTAGACTATCTATCTGCCTGTATGCTTATCTATCTATCTATCTATCTATCTATCTATCCGCCTGTATGCTTATCTATCTATCTATCTATCTGCTTCTCTATCTATCGATCTATGTATCTGCCTGTTTATTGGCTTGTTTTTCTATCTGCTTATATATTTATCTATTTGCCTGTATGCTTATCTATCTATCTGTCTATCGATCTAGCTGTCTATATGCCTGTCTGTGTATCTGCCTATCCATCTGCCTCTTTGTCTACCTGTCTGTCTATCTACATATCTATCTACCCGTCTATCTACCTGCTTGTTTATCTATCTATCTGCCCGTCTATCTGCCTGTTTATCTATCTGTCTGTGTATCTGCTTAGAAGCTTTTGAAGGCAAACACGATTAATTTAAATCAGTAATTTTCACTCTACCCCACTATTCTGGAGATACGCGATACTCTAAACAAAAGGTTTACGGTCATGTCACGTTGAAACACCGGTTCTTGTCCAATCACCGAAGTTAAGAAACGTTGAGCCTGATCTGCACCTAGATGAGTGACCACTCAGGAATACCAGGTGCTTTAAGCTTGGAAGTACGTGTGGTGTAATGGATAACGCCTTGGAATGAAACGTCGGAGAGCCGTGTTCGAATTTTAATGTCGATATTGCCTCCAAAGTTAAAATACAACGTATACTCTAGAAACTTTTGAGAAATTTTTCAGAGAGACCTTTATTTCAAAACGATATAACACCTTCAAAGTATTACCCTCAAACTTGAATGCTCTTGTTAGAGCGCTGCTGCTACATCCTCGCCCTCCAAAGTGAAGGTGTCCACATCACTGCCCTCTTAACCTTCTCCAAGTTCTCAAAACGGTAATCCATAAGGATCCTGATCGTTTCATCGGTTTCTGATAGAGTTTTGCATTAATCCCTGTAAAACGATGCAGAAAAAAAAGCGTGGCTGGCGAGTTACAAGAGCATTGAAATCAAAGGGCCCTAATTTTGTGTTTTGAAATAAAGTTTTGAAATAAAAAATGTCTCTCCTGAAATTCTCTAAACTTCTGTTGTGCATTTATTGATTAGCATAGAACTTACGGTTACATCTCGCCAATTCAACTATGAATTAATGAAACCTTACCATCAATCTAGTCTTTTTTCTTTCTATGTGCCGTGTCCTTTCAGGACGTAGGTCATCATGGCTCTCCAACTCTCTCTACTCTTTGCAGCTCTCAACAAGTTCCTTCTCTCTGCCACCTCCCCCCAGACCACGTTCCGTCATCCACCCGCTTAAGGCCGCTAGGTATCTCACGCGTTGTTTTTACTTGAATCTCTTTCCCTCTATTCGACCCGTGAGTATCAGATTCTCCAGGCCCCCTTTCCTCATTATGTGTCACAGGAACTCCAGCTACCTCTTCCTGATGTTAAGTATAAGCTTCCTCCTTGTTTGCAGCCTCTCTAAGACCTCATCGTTGCTCAAACGCTATGATATCCATGATATCCTTAGAATCCTTCTGTAGAACCACATCTCTGTTGCCTCGAGTTTTCTTCATCTTTGAGGAAATCGTCCAACATTCACTGCCGTAAAAAAAGACAGATATCACGTAACAGCTCAGTATTCTTTTCTTCGTTACCAAAGAAATCCTCCTGTCTCGCAATACGCTGTCCAGCTTTTGGAATTACCATGAAAATGTTTATAGAAAAGGCACAGGGAAGCTACATTTCTGCAATAAGAAAATTACTGATGCTGAGACGTCAGGCCATGACCAATAATATGGATGATTCTTCTTTGGATTTTATCAAGAATCTCTAAATATAGAGACAGAAAACAGGGCCAAATGTGGCAGCATTATTCAAAGCATGGACGAATAGCAGACATACAAACATGCAAGATAGATTCCGGAGAGAAAAATTGTCACAATGATCCAAGTTTCTTAACAGCAGACCTAGCAATGGATTCAATCTTAGACAGCGAAGACGCAACGTGTCATTCTCGTGGAGATTAGTGTCAGCCATGCCGATGGGATCCAGGAATGGGTCTTTCAGGTGATTAATAAAGAGAAGTTTCGCTTTGGAGGCGTTAAAATTAACATGCCACTGTCATTTTTATTACTTTAATCGTTATTTTTAGTCGTTATACGCGTTTTGAGTAGACCACATAGTCTTTAGGTTTTCTCGAATGCGCTGGTCGGTAGACGTAATACACAGTTTAAAAAACAGGACGTCTACTCAAAACACGGATATCCACTAAAAAATAACGTTTTAAGTAATAAAAATATTGAATTAAAAATAAATCCATTAATTCTTTAGAAATTGTTTTGTTTACGTTTCGGATAAGCAATCCAGCAGTTGTGGGCTCTCGAAAAAATCTGAAGTGATAAAAGGATAAACAGAACCTATCTTGACTGTGACGCCCTATGTTGTCGAGTGATCTAAAGCACACTGGATCAAATGGTGGTTTCTCCTACAAAGGGGGATGCAAGTTCAAACTTTACCGGGGGAGCGCATTTTCTTTATTTCTTTCTCGAGTACGCAGGCCGGTAGACGTAATATATGTTATTTAAAAAATGTAGCGTTTACTGAAAACACGAGTATCCAACAAAAGACAAACGTTTGAAGTGATAAAAAATTATATATTACATATATTTTTCTTTTTTTTTTTTCAGTATTGCCATGTGGTGAAATTGACTCAAGCAGAGACGAAAGAAAAAGCTTTTTCCTGCCACTCCCAGATGTTTCAAGCAACTCCAGGCAGCACTTTTCGCGCTGCCCTCAACGAAACATTTATCAAAACAACCAGTCATTCAACCATGCTTCCAAGAGTCAGTCCTTACCAGAATCCAGTTAAACCACCTTTTGATCTACCGAAACTGCCCTTACCCAAGATTGTCTCTGCTCCGTCTCTCGGTTCATCAACCACACCATCATACTGTAATTCGTTGCCGCCCCTCTTGTCAAGATATCAGCAAAATGAATCCAGCGATAGGTCAAAAGTCGTGAAGGAGAACGTTTTAACGCCAGTATCTTCTACGCCCATCCTGCCGACTACAAAATCAGTTGAACAAACCAAAGACATCAATACATCAACATCGACCTCAGCAATGACCATGGCGTCATCTAAAACTTACACAGCCATCAGCGTCTCTCAGGGCCAAAATAGAACAATCGCCGCTCTCACGGCGGAGAAATCCCATCACGAGTTTGAAAAAGACGACAAGGGACAGACACTAATCACGGATTCTTCAATGTCACTTGCAGTTGTCAGTTTTTCAGCATCTTCCTCTTCATCTCTGACTTCCACTACAACAACAGACCCTTCCGGTCAGAGGTCAACCCCTGGTGCTTTAAGAGACCACCATTCATCTGTTGATGACTCTGGCGTTGATCCGAAGGATTTGGAAAAAAGAAACCGTCGCAAGTTCTATTGGTATGGCAGCCACAAGCTCATCAAGCCCATCAAAGATATCCCTCCTCGATTTCAGTTAATGCTTGCCGAGACAAATGCCGAAAAGGCCCGATGTGAAGGCCGGCCGATAATCCTCCGCCAACACAGTGATCAGGCAGATCACTTCAATAGTGCTGCGACTCCATCATTTAATCCAGACGCTCAATGCTTCTTGCCAAATCTCAGTTACGACCCTTCAAGACTTTGTAATCCTGGTTGCTTAATGGACAGAAAAGACATGCAAACATTAGGAATCAGTACATCGTCCAGTGGGGTCAGCAACAGTACAAATTCTGTGATAACTTCTTCCGGCGGAAGTGGAAATAGTAGTGACCCGATGGGTGACGTAACACCATCTCTAACCCAACCAGTTCCACCGATGTACACCCTGCACGTCTATAGTTCTGCTTGCAATCCCAGCACTTCAGGGTCCGTTACTGGAACGACCGCGGCTGGCAATGCATGCTGTCTTCATCTGCCAGCGACAAGCGGTGGCCCTACAGGTGGATATATGTCCAACCTTCAACCGAATCATTCTCATCATCCAGCTTCGATGACGTCCCCTCATCTGCAGCAGACCCCAATCTATTTCCCGGCCCAGGCTGCTCCACTGCAACCGACTCCAATTCAACCGACAGCCACCCCCACAACATCGTATACTGCTGGACAGCAGACATATTCTGCAGTTTTTCCCCCGACTTTGGCTCCAACCCAAACTTTTCTGGCAAACCCAGGAGGGATGGGGCCTCTTGCGACTGCCACAGCGCAGACGTTCCCAATCCCACAATACACACCGTGTGTCACTTATACACAAAACGCTCAGTACACAGTCACAGCAGTACCCCAGTAAATTAATAATAATAATAATTTTAAAATGTTGTCATCTTTATTATTACTTTTCGACTGGTTTACTTTTCATCTCATTATTGTAGCTTTTTATTGCTTATGCAATAACTGTAGAACGCCATTAGTTGCCAAATAAATCTTTCTGTTGCGATCATATAAAGGAACTTTAATAATACAGGCTTACAGAGAGTAGCAGGGTTAATTTTTGAAGGTGGGTGAGATCAAGTCCATCACCGAGTGTCTGTTCTACTATTTACCCATACCTTGGGGGGGGGGAGAAGAGATGGATTTCAAAAGGGTGTAAGTGAAAATAATAAACTTGACTGGAATTTGAACACAGCTTTCTGATTTCTCAATCCGAGCCACTATCTTTGCTGCACCGTGCCTGCTCTAATTTTGGCTTTCTATCTAGAAAGCAACAAACATAAGATGAAAGAAAAACTAGTCAAAAATAATAATGAAAAGGCTTCATCGAAGAGATTCAGATAGTTTAAGACTGTTGCTGCTATTATTACTATGAGGTAATAATTTATTTTTAAAATTAAAAAAACAAAAAAGTATCACTTGAAGAAATCCAACGAGAAAGACTGGCAATATATGACTAAATTTGAATTTGATCTCTCTAATTTATCTCCATGGGCAAATCGGTAAGGCATCATCTCTGTCAAACAGGATGCTGTTCAGTGTGAATTCAAATGTTGTCAGAGGCCAGTTCTTTAATTCCGATCTATTCTACTTACTTAATGGTCATAAAATATAAAAGACAAGTTGAGCATTGTGATAAAACAAAAAAAAAAAAATTTAAAAAAACACCCATTCAAAAAAAATAACAAAAATGTTTCCTCAAAGAGATTCTAACAACATAAAAACTATTATTAGTGATTAATTTGGTTCATTGTTGTTGCTTTTGTTACAAGATTTAAAACACTGCTTTTTTACAATCTTTAATAAAAATTCTATTTTACGTCTGATAACTTATGGTAGCGGTGAATTCATTCTTCACTGGGTGTACTGTGTCAAAAATAACTTAAAGTGAAACAGGGTGCCTCATCATGGTGTAATATTTTATAAGTTAGTCTCGTACATCATAACTACTGAGCAGTAAGTCTGATCCTCACTGAGTGTCATATACACATGACCTTATACCAAACATTGTTAAGCTTAGTAAATAGCAACTACCTGCTATTACTGGGTACCTCAGTGTAAGGTAATGGTAAAAGAGATAGTCTGGTTGGCCATTGCTACTAAGTAGTAAGGTCAATCCTCATTGGGTGCTCCATACTTGTGGCCTTGTGTCAAATTAAGTTTAGTAAATAGTAATTATGAGAGACTTTGAAAAAAAAAATTTCCTTTCTTCTCGTTAGAGAAAGGTTGAATTATATTTTAATTCTTTTGACTAATTTTGGTGAGATTTGCTGCATTGTCCTGGAATCGAACTCAGAACACCAAAACTTACTGATACACAAGCTGCTGCAATTCTTTGAAGTGTAAAATAACTTCTTGTGATTTCATCAGACACTGCCAGGTCAATCAGAATCAAACCTGATGTTAATGGCTTCATTGGACATCACATTTCTATTTGTGCCACGAAAGAGCATTCAAACTGTGATGGTCACTCTCCACAAGTAATTAATTCTGGAAGTAACCTCAGGGACAAATGAACTGTCTTAATTGATCTGCAAGCATTAAAAAAGTACATGGCTGACAAAGGAAACAATTTCTGATCATTATGCTATGATTAACTTTCACTACTGCATTGTTATAGAATTGTTGCCTGGCTGTGCTGGCCTGTTTTGAGAAAAATAGGAACTTGCCATTTACTGGAAATAAATAGCTATAAAGATGCTGATGACGATTTCTCAAGGGCACCATCATTTTGGCTTCAGTCAGATAATCTGCAATACAGGCTAAGCTAAACGACACCTCCAACACACACCATAATAAAAATACGTCACTCATTTGGAAATAGCACTAAGTACTACTTAATTAATGACACAAACACTAGGGACCAACATTTCACAGTGTCTTGTAAATGTATATATACATCAACAGCAGTTTCATGCATAAGTACGCCTACAGCAGCAAAAGTGTTAATTGAAAACTTAGATGTGGTAAATGGTATCAAATGAAGACGTACGAGCTGCCAGTTGCAATACTGGTTTTAATTTTAAAAACAAACAAAAAATATGAAATGCTGATATTAAAACACTTCTGACCAAAGAATAATTTCTTTTTGTATTGGTGCTGGTGGGGTGAAAGAATTGTCTTTTTTTATCAAATATGTTTCTATTCATTTTCCCTTTTATCTTCTTAACATTGTCAAATTAATTTCACCCCTGACCTTCAAAGCAAAAAAAAGAGAAAGGTGTATGCTATATTATTTTGACAATACTTCAATGGAAGTCGAAAAACAAAAACAGACTTTTGTCTTTTGAATTTGGTGCTGGTTTTTGGGATTGTTGTTTTTCTTATCAGCTGATGTTATTGATTTATCGATTTTCATTTGAACCTGAATTTAAAAAAGTTCACAGATTCTAGACAATTAATAGCAAATAAAAATGAACACCTTGCTTCAAGTCTCAGTTTTTATCTTATTTTATTTTTAATATAGCTGATTGAATACAAACTGTTTGTCAGGAGATTCAATTTTTTTTTTATTCAAAGATTAAATAGGACTGATTGTTGCTACAAACTGCCTGCAGAGGTCAGTACATCTGAGAGGAATCGAGGCAAGTGTCTTGAAAAGGAAGAAAGGATGGGGTAACGCTAGCTCATCTGCACAGACCACACATACCTCACCCATTCATACTTGCTGAAGGACAAAGATCAACCAACATGTACAACATGCCAATCTGCACTCATAGTGAAACAAATTTTAACTGAATGTACTCACTTAGCTCCTGTAAGACAAATACTACAAGGAAGCCGACATGAGAAAACTATTTGAAAATACTGAAACCGTCAAAATAATGTCCTTCCTTAAATAGGTTTATACCAAAATATATAACACCTACAATAGATCATCTACAAACTATATATGTATAAAGCATAGCTTTATTTTGAAAGTATAAAAGCATGTACAAAATGTCTATAGTCGAAGGTATAAAATTGTTTAAAATATTTAGATTTTGGCATTAAATAACCTATAGAGTTTGATATGGTGCTAAACAAAATCAACAAAATATGTTTGATTCCAAACCAAAGAAAAAAAAAATCTTTGCAAAAAAACATCTGTGATATAGTTGTAAAATTTCTTGTAATGTAATCTATATATTAACATCTTAATATAGGCACATGGCTGAGTGGTTAGAACATTCACATTCCGACCATGAGATCAGGGTATGAATCTCACCATGGTCGATTTGTCAGGAAGGAGACTTCCTAATGTTATTGGACTAGAGGGGTCAATCCCAGTATGCAGTACCTTTGGAAAGTGCCTGAAAACCATGCCACAGTTGACCCAAGCCTTGTGAGTCAAATTGGGTAGATAGCACCCTTGGGTACTATCAATAGCTGTGCTAGCACAAAGTCACAAGTCATTGTGGCCGAGAGTTTGAGTGTGCAGTATGAAAAATATTCGTCCTCTGACAGGAATCGAACCTGTATCCTATACGGAACCGTCATTTAGCTTGACATGCCTTTAACCGATTTGGCCACAGAAGAGCGTTCGGTTAGCAAGGTCGAATTTACTGTCTTTAAACTTCGATCTTCAATGAATCTCTCATGTACATCCATATCTGCTCAAAGCGCATCCAAATATAAATAAACAAATGATGTCACACATTATGAAAATGGAAATCAGTTAAAGGCATGTCAAGCTAAATGACGGTTCCATATAGGATACAGGTTTGAATCCTGTCAGAGGATAAATATTTTCCATGAAAATTTCTCGGACATTCAGGCCAGTAAATGTTGTTTAATACTGTTTATTATAAACAGAGCATTTACTTAAATATTTGTATCTATAAAAAGAATGTATAAACACCTCCCTCTGTTCCTTGCAGCTCCCAACAAGTTCCTTCCCTTTGCCACCTGCCCCCCAGACAACGTTCTGTCATCCACCCACTTAAAACTGCTTGGTATATCATGCATTGTTTTTCCTTGTCTCTCTTTTCCTCTATTCGACCCATGGGTATCAGATTCTCCAGGCCCTCCTTCCTCATTATGTGTCCCAGAAACTTCAGCTGCCTCTTCCAGATATTAAGTATGAGCCTCCTCCTTGTTTGCAACCTCTCTCATTGTTGCTCACACACTTGGTCCATGATATCTGTCCCTCTGTAGGACCACATCTCTGTCACCTCAAGTCTCTTCATCTTTGAGGAAATCGTCCAACATTTGCTGCTGACATAGGCACCTCAAAAGAAAAGCGATACCTAAAGATTAAAATGAATTTTAAAAAATGAAAAATCTTTCTTGAAGTTTTTATTTAATTTCAGTTTCAAGCTAATAGATTAAGTATTTCCAATAAGCAAAACACTTTGCTTTATTTCAAAATTTATTGATTGGAATTAATTTTTATTTTTTGAATTCACTCAAAATAGCTGATTTTAACCATATTTATAAGTCTCTCAGCACAGTTCAATTCTCTTTATTAAAAAATCTTTCAAAAATAAAATATATTTTTCTGAAACTTTATTTGAGGAATATTAGTCGATTTAAAGTTTAATTAATCTGATTTGAAACAAATATTACTTACTTTTAATTTAAAATATTCCAGAAAAACTTTTTAACACAGAGGTGAGTGTTTTTTATCAGGCGTTGAAAACTATCTCATTACATTATGTTTGTAAATTTTTTTCTAAGGGAGACATTTCAGTAAAAATTACTTTGATAACATGAGAGCCTTCTTTATATAATTTTTTTTAACTACCCAATAATCTTTAAAAGTTGAGAGAATATTCTAAGTAATCTAATGTTTTATTGAATTTTAGGTACTTTGGCTTTAAATTTACTATAGTTACCACTCTTATTTTCTAATAATGTCATGTATGGGCTTCTGTATTT